CACGTACGAGCCGGCAGTGGTGCTTTCGCCGAAACTTGCTAAAGTGGCGGCTGCACACATAGCAGTCGTCGCGGCTGTCGTCGGGCGCCCACATGGCCTTCTCCATGAGGTCGTTCATCGAGAGCGCGTTGTTGACCTCGCGCTGTGCCCACGCCATGCTTATGTGCAAATGGCACCTCGCGGAGTGGCCGTCATACGGATAGGTGCGCCGTGTATCCGGATGAAAAACAGGCCACGCCGTGTGCAATGGCCGACGCCAGCGCGGCGCGGCACACGATTGGCTAAAATCCAAGTCCATCGATTGGTTTTCATAACCGACATACGAAAGCCCGTCACCAAGACGAGGGACACGCATGCAGGACCCAATTCAACAACAACGAGGGACACGCATGCCACCCTCTGCACTCGTCTCTGAGGTGGCGGCTGCTCGGACGCGTCTTGTAGGTCGTTGCAGGCATGGATTCAAACGTAACTTAACGGTACAATAGGTAGCTTCCATGCGGCCATGGCGGCGGGCTACCTTCGCCAGCAAATAGAGAGAGCAAGGTGTCCTGTTTCCTGGTCCGTTGTTGTTGAAGTGAGTCTATTTAGATATAATTTACACTGAACTGGAAATGGTGGTGGACTATCGATTCCAAGGTGCTACGACGAGCCGGCCGCCGAGAGGCTTAGCCGAGCGGGAGACGCGGCGTGTAAACGGCACATGCCGGAACAAAGTTGTCGCGTAGCCATGCGTCGTGCCGCAGGGCTGCCATCATTTGGAAGAGGCACAATGCTTGAGTGTTTGTTTCCTGGTCCGTTGTTGGCGTGGTTGTTTTGGCGGATCGACAGATGTTACAGCAGACAGTGGTGTGCCACATCGCAGGCCATGGCTCCAGCTTTTGGTGATTGGTTGGGTGAAGCGTCAACACAAATCCAAGAGGAACATGGGACTGGGCACCGCACTCGTCCATGGGTCGCGGTGGCTCGCCAAGGAAATGGCAGCCGCGAGTTCTCATGATGGAGCATTAGACATAATGGCCTTGTCCCATGCATTACAAGATCCTCACGGCTTGACGCCAGGCTGCTACAGGTC